TTTTCTTTTGCGATATAACAGTAGCACGGTAGCACTTTCGTGCTCGACTCCTCTGATTTCAATTAAATTACAAAATGAATCAGACTCGTGAACCATGCCAGTGTCATTTGTCGGAAGACAGGCTCTGTCAGTGCTTAAATGCAGATGGCCTGGCTGTGTCAATGCGTGGTAGTTACATAACGATAAACCATCGTCGGCAAACAGACACGGACTTGCAGCCGACCGTGATAACTTCCGTGGCGACTTCAACTATGGCTGTGACTCTAACCGTGGCCGAGACTGGCTGGCGACTGCCACCCGAGTCCATTTAGCGCCATGCCTGAGACTGCGGCTGTGACTTTGACTGTGACTCAGTTCACCATCCAGGCCACCTCTCAGTCAGTCTCGTGTGACCTCTCTACTCCCGATGTCGCCAGCATGCCTGTGTAACGGAGCAGAGCCATTTACCGTTTGGGGTCCATCGGCATCGTCCCGGTCCGCTGGAGCTCAGTTGTCCGGCGATGGCTCCTCTGCGACCCGAATAACGGGAGTAAATAGCTCAGTCTGTGATGGCATCTCGCGATACCCTCAGCTTGAATGTGACCGCATGACTTTTGCTGGTTTGGCGCCTCTATGCTCCGTGATAGAAGACGAAATGTCATTGACAACTGAAGCGAAGCATTACGCTGAATATCAAACGATTTGGTAGGCACTTAAACGTTCATGGATCACTGACAAACCGTTAGTGTCGGATGTGTCGACGTCAGGAATCTCTCACGTCACCCGGGACTGAGTAAAAACAGAGAGCTCTGCCGAGCGGTGACGTCCATGGCGGACAGGTCCGACACCCGAGTGTCCCCGGGCCAGAACTCGTTCCGCTCGGCGGCCGACGAGCCCGATATACCGACGGGTGGGCCAATTTGGGCTGTCCCTAAGGTCACATACCGGTCACACTGACAGTGGCGGGTCTGAGACGACCTGGCTACTGGCAGCTGGTGTCGATCCCAGGATGCGTCGTAGGTCCAAAGAGACTGAGAAACGTCGCAGGACCACACGGGACACAACGAAAACCACAAACCCACTTGTGATAATATGCATTGAGAGTGTTGCAGGCCTAAACGTGAGACTAAAGGCTTTAGGGAACGTCACAGACACACCCTAGCGTCAGAAGCCGACACCAATGTGGGGCAAACGTCCCTGTGACTCGATTCCCGACCAAGTCACAGAGTTGACTCTGACTCGCGACCCTGAATGGTGTAGCTGACTAAGCTGTGAGTCGGTGGGATGTGCTGGCAGCGAGCCGATTCACCTGGCGTTTAGCCAGTGGTCTGATGACGTAATAGTGCTGATGACGTCACGCTACGGAGATGGACGGTTAGCCGAGCTGAATTTCGGCGCCGCTTCTGCCATCATCTGTCAGGCTTTTTCGTCGAGGTGACACACTTCAGAAGAACTGGCGAATTATCTGACGTTGATGATGCTAGGACTGAAAAAGTAGATTTGCATACACAGCCGCCACTGTGATGGGAGATATAAATGAACGAGTCAGCATATTTATCACTTCTTTTCTTCGCAGTGATGCAGAGATTGCGAAAACCACTGTTTCGTCTAGCGCCAAAAGATATCAAAGTCGTAGCAACAATGGCTTTTCGCGAGGTGGCGTTGTGGCCATATGAAAATAACGGAAAATTGCCGCTTCTTATTCATTAATTTTACCTTCACTCATAAATTGCACTGTTATTCGAAAGATTGTCGGCCGCTGCAGTGCCACACCGAACTCTGCCGTACCCTGGCGTTCTCGGTCGTTCTCCCCAGCCGTTCTCCGTCGTACTCCGCTAGCTCCAGACATTCCCCCACCATCCCGTTTAGTCTGTCTGTTCTTCCCGGCACCGACCCGTGAAAGTAGCCTCCCGTCCGCCAGTCGCGCGCCGCGGGCCGGCAGCAGCCCAGAGGGGTTACATCACCAGCGGACTGAGCTGCCGTCCGGCCCGGATGGCGTGGGGCTGGCCCCATCCTGTCGGGGGGCTCTGCACCCGCTGGCGACCGATGCAGAGCTATGACATCCTGCTGCCGAGCTCCCGTTCCGCTGAGGTCGGCTCCCATAATCAGACCAACTTAGATGATACAGCGGATGTGTGGATGTTGGTTTGGTGGCTGGAAGCAGGGGAGGAGAATGCTGTTGTGTTGATGATTGTGGTTGCGATGGGGATGCAGCCCAGTAGAAATCGTATGGGAGCGTCCGCTATCTAAACATGGCAAACTATACCAAAGGCAAGACGGAGAGCCGTCACTAACTTGGCTTTCGTCACCACGGGAAGCCGACCAACGCTTTACCATTTATCGCCTGGTGAATACGGACGATCATTCATGAATATATCTGATGGACAAGCAGATAGGAGCGGGCCTTGGTGCAATGATAATGCTGCACTTGGCAAGCGTCTCGGATACGACCTTGGCGTGCATCTCGCAAATGACGTCAAGGATTCTCAGGAAGCATCCCGCGGTTCATGACCGATGCATGGCGCCTAGGGTGGTCCACATTTACATGGTAAAAAATAAAGTTCGTCAGATTCATCGGGCCGGGTCGGAATTCTTGTCGATACTGTAGCACAAGCTTCTGTGCAAAATTTCATCAAGATTGGATGATTTTATCCCGTCCCGCAAAGCGGTCAAAGTTTCCATTATATGTACCAGCCTTCAGTATAGGGCGAATACTTGTCTTTCAACATTGCCCAGTCGCGCCAGCGGCTATCTACCAAAGAGCTTGCCTGCTCAACGCACCAACCCTCTCTAGCCTTCTCAATGATAGATCTAGTCTTCCTATCAGCCACAGGCAGGAACGATAATCCACAGTTCCTGTTGCAGTTCCTGTTCTCAGTGCCAGGAGCAAGGCCCTGTATGCCAGGAGGTGCGAATGCATTACGCTAGTTATGAATTTGCCTGCGTATGGGATGGCCGCTGAAGCTGCAAAAGGCACACGCTCAATCACCGAAATGTGGCTTGTTTTGGCAGCCAGAAGCAAATCCTTGCTGGGTGAAACAGCCTCTTACGAAATGCATGATGCATCTTTTCACTTTTCACACCATCCGCCTTCCGGCCCGGGACTCCCGAGATCCCGTCCTTCAAGCGGTTTGTAAAGTGGTGGCAGCTCACGGACCGAGTGTCGTTCAAACCGCTCAATGACTTCATTGACTTCGCCGACAAGATGAAAGTCACCTGACGCGCATTGCTGAAGAAGCAGCGGCCCCGTGATGACTACCGCAATGTGGTGTACTTCACCACCGCCGTGATGGACGGTGACTTGGAAGCGAGCATCCTGAAACCGGTTGCCCTACAACGTGCTCGTTGGATGGCAAACTTGATCAACACGTAAGATCTCTCAAGTCAAGAACACTCTCAAGAACACTCTTCTGTCAGCCTCAGCTTGCGCTCACCGAGCACGAGAAGAGGACGATGGTCCGGTTCACCACCTTCATCGTCACAAGGTAAGTAGCACTGTGGCTGTCTGCCCACTGATCGACCTCAGCATCGTGAACTGACATCGCCCTCCGCAAAGGCTCCTACCGCTTAGCACACATATATCGGACGGTAACCGGGCAAGGTGATGGGCAATGCCATCGGTCTCTCCTTCTTCAACGACGGGACGACGGTCGAGGAAAAGAGGCGATCGCCACCTCCATCAGCAGCGGCTGAGAGAGAAGAACCCTGCCGCGCCAAAGTCGCCCTCGACGCAGTGGGGCAGCGCTCGCTGGCGTCGTTTACATCTGTCGGTCGGTACATCCCTCCGGGCCAGCCACGATTTCCTCAAAGTCGACTCCGCCGCGTGGTCAGACAATGACGACTTGACCACTGCTCATCGGCGACCGGCACATATACGGGTGGTGAACGACTTTGCGAGAGCTGGGTATTGCACTGTTGCCCTCACCAGTGGGAAACTTTTAGCGCCATCGCGCACGGCAAGGAATAGTGAAAGCACTTCCTTCAGGTCGAGGAGCACCACTGCACCGGGCGTTGCATCCGAGAGGGATATTATTGGTGCTATTGGTCTGAAGATAAGGGCCCAGGCGACCTGTAGTTCGGATGCGGTGAATACCCTCACCCTCGCCACAATTTGAGTGGGGGTTGCGCTGGGTGGGAGGAGGGATGCACTCGGCCCGACCTGTGGGGAGGGTAAGGGTATTCACCGCATTAAAACTACAGGTCGCCTGGGCCCTTATATTGAGACCAATAGTACATGATGGCATGCACGGTGGATTTTGTTCTTTTTATCTATACCAGATATGCTATTTTCACGGGTACCCATTCCACTCTGATGTGTTTCTCTCCTTTGCTGTTCTTTTTTAATGACTGCCAGTGCGTATTGAGCGAAAAATGTGGACTGAGTGCGAAAATTCGTATTATCGCTCATCCCGTTATTGTTAACATAGGGAAAACTTTGGTCGCTTTGCGGGACGGGATAAATTTATCCAATCGGAATAAAATTTTGCACACAACCTTGTATGATGGTATCGACAAGAATTCCGACCCGGCCCGAAAGATCCTAGAAACTTTTGCAAAATGGACCACCCTAATGGCGCCGTATATAAAATTAGCAGTCATCTTGTGTTCATCGCGATGCATGTTCGGCTAATTAATGTTCATGCTCTTGCAGTTGTTTTTGCTCCGACTGCATTTAGGGTTTAGAGCTCGCGTGGCAGCTGCTATTGCCTCAGAGATAGATGAGACAAGAAATACAGGCAATTAAGTCCTAAAACAAAAGGCTGCTTACTTAAACTCGTTTAGTGTTAACGTTTTCATTCACGTCGCGGATAACATTCGCTAATTGATGTGCTACCAATTATCTCCTTAAAACGCGCAATTCGCAAACATGTTCTGTCCTAATTAATATTTCGAAATCTGCTATTGAACACATTCATCACATAACAGCGCATCTCGCGAACCAGCTCTCCATCCTATTGTGCTGGCTGATTTTGACACGGGTGTTTGCTTGATTAGCTGACATTGTGTCCTCTCTGCCCCAGATATCGGACATTGTCGAGGGCGACGACAGCATCAATGCCAAGGACGCGCTACTGCGGTGGGCGCAGAGAACCACTGAGCGCTACCCGGGAGTGCGGGTCAACAACTTCACCTCGTCATGGAGGGACGGGCTCGCCTTCAATGCCATCATCCACAGGAACAGGTAGGTGAACGGGGTTGAGGGCTGGGTTAAGAGGAATGGGACAGGAGGGGACAGGAGGCGTAGCAGACAGGGCTAAGGATTTGGACAGAAGACAGAAGACAGAAGGTGGGCAGATATAAATCTGGACGGTACAGCTGGTCAGAGTGACGGGAAGCTCACGTTTAGCAGTAGTTTCCAGAGACCAGTCAAGTATGTAGTCGAGTAAGAAAAGAGAGACAAAAGGCTGAAATGAGTGGGAGTTGGCTGGAAAGCACAGGATTAAATGCTGATGTGTAATTTAATGCGTATGTATAACTTAATGTGTGTATGTAGTAACGTGGGAGCCACGTAGCAGTCGACAGGCAGGGCAATGGACGGTGAGCTTTGGATGGCGCTGGCCGCTGACGGCAGCCGCCTCGGGTCTCCTCTCCTCCCTCACCTAACACCTGTTCGGGAAATGGGCGATGGCTGGAGGGAGGGGGCACCTGCTGGCACCGGAGGTAACACGATTCGACAGCGCGCCCAGTCACCGCCGCCTGCCTCTAATGGAAGACGTGACGAGCCGAGGCACGGCCGGTGACAGGGCGTGGGATGACCGGAGATGACCTGAAATCGGTCCCGTCACGGCAGAGTGGGGCGCCGCGCCGGCCGGCGGTCGGCACTGCGGTGGTAAAAAGACTAATATGGCCTCTAACGAGGGCGGATGGATGGGAGCGGTCGCTGACGGCCGGGCGGGCCGCCGGGAGTGATTGGATTCGGGTCTGATGGTCCGTCCGTGGGGTCGCTCGCGTGGTGGTAGTGCTCAGTATGCTGCGCGGAGTCCGAGCCACGACTTCGCAGAAATTGATTGCAGCTGCGTTCGTGCCTACATGGGCGTAATGTTTTTCGTTTTAGTGAGACAGCAGACACTGTTTTCTGTGCTTGGTTTGGTCTTCGGTGATTCTGCTTTGAGTATTCAATTACAGATACACCGGTCAGTGGCTTTATTGATATGTGAGAGTATAAACCGAAATTGGCCGGCGTGTATGACAGGTTGTTAAATACATCAGTGGCTGCGACCGGTCTTGAATAGGATTTGGACCTGAGCACTTAAGCAGGATCCATTCTGATCACCTAGCGCACGAATATGGCGCATATTAAGCCGGTTCCTTCTAGACCTGGCCTTGTGGACTCTTCCGCATTGTGCTGTATACCTTACTAGAACTGACCTGACACGCACCTTCTTGACCTGGCTGTGTACCGATCAAAAGTCTGACCTGACCTCAAACCTGTACCTTTTATGCCTGACGTGGTGGACTGGCGCGATGTCCATCTCGAGGCTGACGTGAGCTGACCTGACCTGACCTATACTTTCAGACCTGACCTGGTGGACTGGCGCGATGTTCAGACCAAGTCTGCGCGCGTCCGGCTGGACCAGGCGTTCCACACTGTTGAGCAGGAGTACGGAGTCACCCGACTGCTCGACCCCGAGGGTGAGTACCGCGTGTATAGAACGGTGAAAACGAGTATTACCTAAATCATGCATGACCTATAGGCTATGCTATTGCTCCCAGTTTCGAGTACTTACCAGGAAGCGTAATATCAGAGATACTCTTATACACATACAAAGTTATTTGTCATAATCCTAGCAAGGTTCGCCTTATTTGGCTGTGGCGTTGATTCTTTCTGTTTTCACTTGGTCCGCCCGTTTTGACCGGCTTATACCCGCCGACTTCCTTCATGGCCTATCGCCGCCACCTGGCATCTCAGTAACCCGGCGGCACGAGCCCCGTGTAAAAACGGCACCGACCGCGGCCGGGTCGTGACGACGCGTGCGGCGCTGCTCACGGGTCGCGGTACAGACCCAGGTGGCCAACCGCCGGCGATCGTGTCCGCGACACGTGCGCTCACAGCACTCACAGAGCTGCTCGGCTGGAGTATGAATGGCCAGCCTGAGGCTACAAGACTGAGCTCCGTATAGGTTAGCCGCGCGAGGTAGTGATGCAAGACTCATCCAGTAGCTTGACCCGAAATCAGTTCTCCTGCCCGTAGAGACGTGCCGTTCTCGAATACGGCGGTCCCCGGGCGGCACTCAGCAGCGGCCGCCAGTCGCTGAGGCAATCGCACGGCTCTCAACGGGTGCTTGGTGCGTGCCGACGCCCGAGCGGCCGTCCGGCCGTGTGTTGTAACGCGCCCGACACGCCGTAGAGATCGGGTGGGCGGCAGAGCCGGGCAACACGATAAGCCCACGCACTTACGTGTGTAGCAGTGTCCAGTGACCACTCTAGTCAGGTCGTTCTCCTGTGCATCATTAACCTTGCAAGACCTTGAAACTAGGTGGTTGGAGAGGTTTTTAGAGTGTAACGTTTTGTTACACCTGGCAGTGTGTGTTGCTGAGGTAAACGTTTGAATCGGACGGCCGGTTGTTGCGTGGCGCGATGTCGTGTTCGCAGCTGGTCGTTTCACCAGTGACCCGCTCACGCACTCTCGCGGACAGCGAGAGGCGTGTGGGCGTCCTTCACCGGCGCCCGATCTGTGCCGGTGTCCGCCCCGCCCCCGCCGCGGCCGCCCCCGCCCACACAGCCGCTCTCGAGACGCCCACCGAGGCGCGTTTTGAGATGACGAGGCAGCGCCGGCCGCGGGCGTCGCCTCTCGATTCCCAACACCTCGCCGGCGCCGCAGATGAAGGCCGCTAAAGATGTCAAGGCCGCACGCGCCGCCGCCGCCGTCGCCGCAGGGGTGCTGCCGACCGGTCCTTAGGTGAGGACCCACGGGTCACGGCCCGTCACTACAGATGTAGCTGACGATAACCGGCTGCTCAGAGGTCGCTGGAGGCCCGCCGTGGAGGAGACGGGAGCGGGCCACGCACAATGATAAAGCGAATAATTCGGTGGGAGCAGACGCGGTTGAAGAAAATTGATGAAAGTTGCACTGACTCAACTATCGAATTTGTTAAAAAGAAGAGCTTCCTTGATTCTGGAGCTATGACAGTGCACGATCCTATGTTCCATCTGTCTCTACGGAGAGTGAGACGCTGTCGCCGTCCGTCGGCAGTTGAAAGTGAAGTCGAGTGCCGTGCTGGTTCCGCGTAGTACCGTTTCACCCCTGTGACCCCGCTCATTGAAGTGCGCAGAGGTCATGGAATGGGGTCGTGACCCGCCTTGTCGATGTGCGATGGGAACACCCTCAGCTGTGTTTCGTTGGCACCCTCGCTGTGGCTCAAAAGGTGCATCGCCTTGAGCCTGGAAGCTGCACCATGCTGAGATCGCTGCCAAACTCCAGCCTTCTGCTTTTGGCTTAATCTGCAGGATCTCTAATTTCTTTTCTAATATCGTGAGACTGTATATGCGTGCCCTGGTGCAGGCTCTGCTCCAATCGCTCGTTCCATCTCGGTCAGGCCGGGGTGGCACCAGTGCAGCACCCAGCCAGCTGTCGGTCCAGTCCTCAGCCAACCTTACGGGGCGGAGTCGCACGCCGCCGCTCCTCCGCCCTCCAAATAAGGCGCGACCCTGCTGCGGCCTGGTCACTGCAGCCACCGCCATGGCACTGTTCAGTACTCAGTGTCAGTGCCGCGCCCTTACCTCTGTCCCTGCACGGAGCACTACGCAGTCGCGGCATACCTGAGCGCCTGTGTGTGCTGACTGGGAGTGGGAGGCGCCCCGGGAGCCAGGGTCAGCTGGATGAACAGGAGCCGCTGGGTCGGAACACGGGACCAACAAGCCCGTGGGTTTGTTGACAGTACCTGGATGGGAGGTCGAATGGAGCTGTCAGTCTCTTTAACCCCAGCTCCTCTACCATTTCATCCCTTTTCCGTTGGCGTGTTTGGACAGAGGTTCCCGACTTTCTGCGACGCTCACAAGTCACAGCTGCGCCCTACATCTCTACCGTTTGGGGTGGTGCTACGTATGGTGAATGCATACAGCCCCATCGCATATGCAGCTCCACCAGCCGTTTTCCCCAGCACTGACCGTTCGTCCGGCAGGGCGGTGGTGCGGCCGGCGCTGTTTTTACCGTCCTGTTGACGGACGCCAGTTGTTGCCGGTGCAGGCGAGGGGCGTCCACCGCTAGTGAACCGGTCCAATCGCGACGGCCATCGCGGGCACGCCTCCCTCCTCCCACGCCCGACGGGTAGAGCGGGGAGTGGCAGAGCCATGGAGCCGACCGGGCCGACCGGTGACTTTGCATGTACTTACCGGTTACTGGGCGGGGGACAGGCTGTTGGTCGGTGGATAGTGGGGATCGGGGCACGAAGCGGTGTAAGGCACGGCAGACCACCCACGGACTACACCACTCAGGGTCGGAGGGGAGAGCTTCTATGAATCGCGACTCCCGAGGATATGGAATCCTACATCTTCTGGCTATGAAATGAACTGAACCTTCTCTTGGCGAGCGGCTCATGTGAAAATTATAACAAAGCTCGCATATTAACCATAGCTAAAATTGAAGCTATACCTAACCACTGCTCCTGCATTTCTAAAAAAAAAAATTGACGTTCCTGTGTCATCTTAATGTCAGTCAATCAATATAGCTGATCAGTTCAGACCTCTTGCATGCCTTCGGTTGCCAGCTGGTGATAATTTCCGCGTGTTTCCAGCGTCGGCAGCTTAGGATTCATGCTGTTCGGATGAACTTCAAGTCCGAATCCCATTTTGCCCTTATATCCGAGCGTCGTTTCCCGTCTATCTGAACTCATTAGCATTAATTCATCCACCTGTGCTCCTCGATTCCTCTGACGAGCGAAGAGACCACCACGAGCTCGCCATCTCAGGCGGATCGGAGTCTCGCTGCTCTCTGATTGGTCGGTGCTCACGTCATCGGCCCCACCCGCTGTTAGTTCCACCATATCCGTTCGTCTTCAGCTCGTCGAGGCCTGCCCACGCGCCCGCACACCCGGCGCCGGCCGGTCGCGTGGGCCGGCCCTCTTCACTCTCCCCGCCCCGCTCTCCCTGCTCTCTCCCGTCACTCGGCTGACCTCTGATGGTGACCCCTAGCGGTGACCTCGGGTCAGAGACACATCTGTTATCTCCCGTGTGAGATTGGACGAGCCGGGCGATCGGTGAATGGGGCGGATAGGCAGAGAGGGAGAGAGCCAAAGAGGGTATTGAGAGAGAGAGAGAGAGAGAGAGAGAGATAGAGAGAGAGAGAGGGAGAGGGAGAGGGAGAGGGAGAGGGAGAGGGAGAGGGAGAGGGAGGGAGGGAGAGGGAGAGAGAGAGAGAGAGAGAGAGAGGGAGAGGGAGAGGGAGAGGGAGAGGGAGAGGGAGAGGGAGAGGGAGAGGGAGAGGGAGAGGGAGAGGGAGAGGGAGAGGGAGAGGGAGAGGGAGAGGGAGAGAGAGAGAGAGAGAGAGAGGGAGAGAGAGAGAGGGAGAGAGAGAGGGAGAGAGAGAGGGAGAGAGAGAGAGAGAGAGAGATAATAGGGAGAGAGGATGGAGGTAATCTTTCTCTCATCTCCACGCTGAAAAAACCGCTCAACTCACTAAAAAAAGATATTATTCAGAATGTGTTATTAGTTATTAGTACCATATACATAGAAGAATAACAGCAATAACTTTTCTCACAAAGTGAGAAAAAGATAAATGTGAAATATATGCACGGATTTCTATTTGTAGCAGATTGCTTCTGGGTTTCCATTTAAGTAATTCTTATCGAACGGAGAAGTTTTGCCTTGACCTCTTTTACAGTGACTTTGTCATATTGTTCGCACTCCGCCTGGCCTTGAAACTAGCGCTGTCATATATCAGTACACACAGTGGTGACCAGAGGCATTGTTTATGTTCAACACTTTCATTACTTATCGAAAGAACTGATACATTATGCAAGCATTTATCTGCTTTTCCACGTCCTTTTTTTGGAGGCTTGCTTCGTACCCGAGGTAAACAACGGCTTCCTCGTTCTTTTGCTTATAGCTGATGACATTTCCAACATTCCTGACGAGTTTACACTCCCAGCAGGAAGCCACTGTGTTATGCCACCGTGCTGAATGTTTGAGTCGCTTTTATTCCTCACATCTAACCCAGACTGTGTGCTTCGTATCCCTCCCTACCCTTCCTTGCATTGCAGGCCTCTCTCCTCTCCCTGCAATCAGTGTGACGTTTTGGGCGAGCAGGCAGCCTTGAAATGGAACCAGTCAAAGTCCTTCTACTTGTTACTGCCGTTCATTCTGGACGGTGCCAATCACACTTACCCCAACCAGATCATACCCTACTGGCTACTACCTTCCATATTTGGCTGCAGATGTGGCCGGTGTAGCCAGTAGCCACTCATACCATCCCCATCTTTCAACTTCGGTCCAGGTGCAATCATCCCCACCCACCAGCGTCGCTCTGGAGGTCTCCGTCGCCCATTCCTTCGGAGTTTCGGTGTGGGCCCCTCTTCTATAATGCAGCACCCTGCCTCTGCGGTGGTTCACCGGGGCTGGCCGACCGAATGTTCTGCCAGCTGGACCCGTTGTGACGTCAGCTGGGCCCGTTGTGACGTCAGCTGGGCCCGTTGTGACGTTGCCGTGATCGTGACGTCACATCGGCAGTGGAGGAGGGAGATGAGGACGAGTTGTGCTTCGTGCCACCTGGGGCTCAGAGTTTTGTTTGGTTTTGATACTGTTTAGTTTGAAGCTGGGTGACGATATCAATTGCCTCCGGTTAAGAAATGCTGACTTCATTAGCCGTTGACCATATGCGGCCACTCGGACGTTTCCCTCATTATCATACGGTGGTGACGTCATCGGTGATCCATCTCGGTCCGTTCACGCCTCCGTCAACAACACCTGGTCCCTAGGAGCACTCTCAGACGCGAGTGCTGTTGAACGATGACTCAACGAAACGTTCGCCGAACCCTTCCTCCGTGAAGGAGCATTGATGAGAAGTCTGGCACCGACTAACGCAAAACTCGGCGTCTGTCGGTGATGCGTGTTCATCAGCTGTGTGCGACTGTTTGCGCTGCCAGCCGAAGCCGGAACATATGTAGCTGCCGTGGTTTTATCTGATAACGCCGCCACTAGCGAGTGGGTAGTGTAGTGGCCGGTGTGTGTTAGAGCGGCCTGCAGTGGCTGTGAGTGAACTTTTTTTTGGGGGGGGGGGAGTCGCCAAGTCGTATCGATTAGTATCGGATTGAGACGGCCGCTTATCTTTGCGTCTCTCTTCAATTCGATTCGGCTTTGTCATCATCAGTGACGCAGTCCGTCCAGAGATGCATAAGCAAACCGAGTACCTAGTTTATTGTTGCGAATGACAGTCCTTATGGCGCCTGTTGGGCTGTACCGCAGTGCTCCCCTGCGAGATAAACTGTGCCGCAATACACGCATGTGTATTAGCCGCTGCATCGCAGTGCATGCCTGCACGGTGGGCTGTGCCGCAGTGCACGCCTGCGGGTTATGCTGTACCGCAGTACACGCCTGTCTGGTAGACTGCCGCAGCGTCCGCCTGTGGGCTAGGCTGTACCGCAATACACGTCTGTGTGTTATGCTGTGCCGCACCCGCAGCATACGTCTTAGGCTGTACCGCATTGTCTGCCTGCGGGATAGACTGTACCGCAATGCACGCCTGTGGGTTAGGCTGTACCGCAGCACAGCGACGTTCTGAAGACTGCAATTCGTGGAGTATACGTAACACGAGTGTACAGCAGTATGTGTGATGCTTGATTCACTTTGTTCGCATTCCTTTTTGTCATTTTATAAACGACTTATCTGTTGAAAATAACTTTTCGTTGTAATCGCGACCAGTTTTGCGACCCGTTAGACTGAAGCTTACGAACGATTAAAGATTGGTACCAAAATTTAACATCCCCGTGTCTTGCCACTTTCCAGCTATCGTTGTTCTGTTATCCGTTAACGTTTTCATGTTTTCTCCGTCAGATGTGGACACTCCTGAACCAGACGAGAAGTCGCTCATCACCTACGTCAGCTCTCTGTACGACATTTTCCCGGAGCCGCCGGCGCAGCACCCTCTGTACGACGCTGTGAGTGCCCCAGGAGTCAGCCGGGACCGGCCCGACGGGGTAAGTCGTGGACGAGAAGACACAAGGTCACGCATCCAGGCATAGACACAGGCATAACATACACACATACATCCTAGGCAACAAGTCCGTCTGCAGTCTGAAGAACGATCCGGCAGTCTGTTACCTTTCCTGAGGAACGGTTTCAAGATCCAACATTTTTGTTAAAAGCGGTTTACATACAGTCTACCACCCGGCTCCTACATATGTAATGCTTTTGTTTCCGAATAAAAGCAGTAAACACAAATTAACTAAATGCCTATACATACAGTATTTATTGGTATCGCGTGCCGAAGCCTCAACGAGCGATTTTTGGTAAATTATGTAATAAAGACGGGCTCCGTTCCACATTGGAATCAAGTGAGACATCAGGTAAATTGCATGCGGTGTTTTGGAGCAAACAGTCTCCAATGCCTTATAATCTCGCTTGACAACAAGATTGTTGTTGCAAAGCATGGCTATGCTCATAGTTTGCTCTCGTTGATTGCATGACTTTCGGCGATATGGTGTACGTTCTTTGCATCTGGGCAGAAATGGGTTTATGGACCACCCCAGCAGACAGACAAAGACTTTTTTCATGCTCAGCTGAATTTAATGCAGTGAGAGAAACGTCCGAAAACCTAATTTGCGATTGTTCAGCACACGGGAGCAGTTGAAATCACATGAAAAGAGGACAAAGCTTGCATCGGAATGATCACGAACTACAACAGAGTCCACATTGGTTATCATAGCACATCTTCAGGCTTAGTAACAGGCAACAAAAGTTCTTACGCGCGTCCATCAATTATTAGGTACCGTTTCCCATCCGTTTATCCTTTTCGGACGCATGCCATTGGGGAAGAGATTTCAGTTTGCTGCATGCTAATGTAACGAAACGACGCTTGATCTTACAAGCTCTGAGCGATTTGCGCCAGCTTCATTTCTGTGCATGCATGTCCTGCTCAAACTGCTGTTCATTTTCAGTTTGAAGCTGGACTTTCTTGCATGTTTCGGCATGCCGTTTCAAGTACCTACTGTTTCATGGCTTAAATTGACCGATAAACTTTGCATGGATAACAATGAATGCTTGTTTGCTGTCTTGTCTGTTTTTGGCTGAGCATGCTCTCTAATCGTCTTCTATCCTCTAAGCCCTTTTTGACCGTCCTGTGTGGTGTGCCCCAGGCGGCCCAGGCGGCGCTCTCAGACTACAAGGACGGCGCGTCTCGGCTACACCAGTGGATCCGACAACAGACCGCGCGCATGAAGGAGCTCACTTTCCCCGCCTCCGTGCCGGAGCTGCGCGAACTGCACGCTCAGAGCAAGGCGTTCAAGACGCGCGACGTACCGCCCAAGCAGCAAGAGATGACTCGTCTGCTGCGACTCTACCAGGACCTGGAGGTGAGTGATGAGATTTCAGCTCTCAGACCGTAGCGGAGTAGCCGGGCGATGTAGATGCATAGACGTAGAATCCATGCCAGACCAACGTAGCAGGATGTTGATTGGGTTGAGTCAGAGAAATTGTTGATCGGGGACAGAGTGAAGTCACGGGAATGGCGTCGCACCGGTTCGAGAAGTTGTTTACGAGAAGTTTATGGAAGGACAGAAGTAACAGGGTAGTGGTGGTCCGAGAAGTTGTTGATTGGTGTTTCTGGGAATGGGGAGATCGTTTTCTTTGCCCGAACTTAAGTCGGTACAGGTAAATGTGATGTAAGTACAGGGAGAGACCAGTTCTCAGACCGGCGCCGAACGTTTCCTCTTTAACGGTCGATGCATGTAAACATGTGCACACTAGTGAACCGTTCTGTCTCGTTCTCAGCGGTCTCACCACGATCTGGGGAAGATGGACCTGCCGCCGGAGCAGCACATCTCCCTGCTGGACCGCAACTGGGGCCTCATGATGAAGACCTACCAGGAACGACATGCACTTATCGAGGAGGAGATGACTCGTATGGAGCGGCTGCAGAGACTGGCCGACAAGGTAGGACAGTTTATATGGCTTTGGGACAGCTCGGCACAGCGGTGCTGAGTGCTGACACTGACTACGTTTCCATGACACGTCTAAACGAAATTTCACGTGCGTTTTTCTTGGAAACTATTTACCTTATGCAAAAAATGAGCGTATATATGGTTTTAGCTAGCACCTAATCTAGCCACTGTGAGGGTGGTGGGATTCGCATCTCTATCATTCTCCTCAACGGATGTGTCGTTTTGGTTGACATTTTCGCACTGCGACACGCGCCTGGTAACGATGCCAGTGCGAACGCGTGGGTTTGTGTACCGGTGTGTGTCCGGGCGGCGGGCGTGTGAAGTGGGCTGTTTGTGTATTTCCCTCGTTAGGTCGCAGCCGATAATCGTTGGTAACAACTCAAAGTGTCTGACCTCCACTGCACCGTCTACCTCCGGGGTCTAGTTGCGGATAGAGTATAGAAAAACACACGCCAATGCAGTGAATTGAATAACATTATATTAAGGACAATAGGCAACATACACACTCAGGCATGCGCCTGTTTTTTATTCATGCAAAATAGCCGCAAGTTAATTTTTGAACTGACGTGATAAGCTCGTTTGTTTAGCTGCTCTATTGTTATGCTTCAACATAAATTGAATGTGATGAATTTATGTAATAAACCTCACGCGATTTAGGTTAGATTATCTGACTAAGCTTGACCATGCCTTATCCGTGTTTGACAGATCCAGCGAGACATTCGCGCCACAGACCGGCGACTCAACGACATTCAGCAGACTATCAAGGACGAGTCCAGGCGCATCTCCAAGATGAAGCCCAGAGACGTCAAAATGCTGTGTGAAAAGGTATGAACTTATCGGTTCTCTCTTGTGATATCGAGTGGTGTTAATTAGGTACTTCTTCGTCTTTGTAAATATACAAAGAATGCATGATAATAAGCTAACTTACCCAAACATCAAATAGCCTACATTAGAGCGTACTTAATTAGGGTTCAGACGCGCAATTTTCTTTCATTGATTATCAGTTTCAATCGGATCACAATGAAAACACCACTGGAATTAAAGGGCGGTGAACAGCTGATTGAGTCCATAAGGACGCCTCTTTGAAGCCGTCCGAGTGCCGTTTATTTTGCTGACGTCTGTGTTTTGATTGCGTTTGTTGACAGATCGACCTGGACCTGGTCCAAGTGGAGGAGACTATCAAGGGTCTGTTCTCGGACGTCAACTCGCTGCAGGAAGGGCGGCATCCGCAGGGACCCGAGCTCTACCACAACGTCCAACAGCTCCACAACAAGTGGATGTCTGTTCACAACAACATGCAGGTTTGTTTGGCTGATGAAACTCGGTTGAAATGCCAAAGATACACATGAGTTAAAAATAAATAACGTAGGCTCCCGAGAAAATTTTTACGACCGTCGATCGTCATCAGCAAGCATCATCATTTAAAGTTTTCCAATCAATCGCACATTTTCTTAACCCTCGCATGTGTGCGGCGTTTGCCAGCTTCTAATGTGTAGGGGGGGGGGGGGTCGGTTGGACCCCCCCTTGCCGTTTGGCCCCTGATCGAGCTAGAGCTTCGCGGAAAAAACGAGCGTGTTGCCCGTGACGAGAGGAAGCCGATGATACCCAATTTTAAGGTCCTAGGTCATTGGTTGACCTTCCAGGTCAGGTCAATGACCCAAAGTCGGGAAAATCGGGACCTGTTAGAAAGTCGTAAAGTGTGGCTGCTAAGGGGTTTTTCGGGGTGCTGATCACGAATATCGTGTTAGTTTTGATCACAGATGATGTCTTGAAGCATTTAGACCAGGTCGGGTCAGGTCAGGTCAGGTCAACCAGTAGGCGTCGTGACGGGTATTCGTAGTACGTGTCAACCGCCTCTGACAGCTTCGTAACATGTTACGAAGTCACCAAAACTACTTCGTAAATGTTCAAATGGTTGCTAAATTCGAATTCAGCTCCAAAAACTAGCCTAGAAACATGTAAAACTCGAAAAAGTGACCCGAGGTCACCCGAGGTCACCAAAGGTCAATGACCTGACCTGACCTTCAGGTGACCTTGACACACACGGGAGTAACATCAAATCACATGTTTGAACGTTTGAAACCACGAAAAGCTTGCAAACACGCGGCTAGTGCGAGCCGACATACGCGAAATCGCGATTCCGGCCAAACATGGTCTCGGAAAAGAGGTCACAGGTCAAAGGTCATTTGGGTCAGGGTCATGAAATTTTCAGGGTAGGTGTAAAATTGATCAATGCGAGGGTACTGAAAGTTTCGTCGCGATCGGCCGCTTTTTACGCGAGTTATTCGCGAAAAACCATGGGGGGGGGTCCATCCGACCCCCCCCCCCCTACACATGCGAGGGTTAATTGGCTCCGCATGGCGCATACCTATCACTTTGATCCCACTTCTAACACATCGATTCTGCCCACCAAAGCTCGCGCATTCCTTCACCAGAAGCTGATCATAATATGTACATGACCAACTGTCTAACTGGCTATTTTCGGTTTCAGGAGAATCTGCTCGGCCCGCTCAGCAAGCGGATGAATGAGGACCCTGACGCCATGTTCAACCGGCTGATCAAAACAGACGAGAACTTCCGGTTCCTGCACGAGTGTCTCGAATGGGTGCGGGAGAAACTGGTACGTTTCTCACAGTCCCCTTTATACCTCCTCACATTCATTCTCAGGAACATGATTCATGCTAAATGGTTTCAAAAATGGTGACTTGGGGTTAATGTCAGGAATGCATAGACCCGTATCTACCAGTCATGTCTTTGCAAGCGCAGCGGGATAGAGAAAATGTAATGATGTCGCAGTCCAGGGATGTCGAATTTTTTATGTTTGATAACCTGCAGTGATCAACTGTCTGTTTGATACCGTTCTTGCGTTACGGTAAGTTTTGCTGAGTTTGCGTACGTTTCCGTCGGCAGCACTCGATCCAGGAGGCGGAGTATGGCCACGACCTGCACTCATGTCAGCAGGAGCTGGAGACGCACGGAAAGGAGCACAAAATCATCGACCAGTTCCAGGTAAACAAATTAAAGCCCTCAGGCTGTCGGCCTAGATTTTAGGGACTTTCCTCGAGCGAACGCTTGTGTCAGGCAAAATGCGCTCGTCATTCTCTGGTAGGTAGCTTCATTGGCTGGTGCTCACCCGTTCTGCGTTTTGCTAATGTTCTGAGCACTGTTCTGTCCCCCTTCAGGTAAACCTGGACCGGTGCGTGGCTGCCAAGAACAACTACGACCACGAGGAGCTGGCCATGTACATGAAGATCCTGAGTCAGCTGCAGAAGACGTACGCCGACCTTCTGTCTACCTCCAACAAGCGGCTGTCGGACCTGATGATCCTTCACGACTTCATCCAGGGCGCGACCAACGAGCTCATCTGGCTGAACGAGAAGGAGGAGACGGAGGTTCACCGGGACTGGAGCAACCGCAACCAGAACCTGCAGAAGGTGGAGGCGCACTACGAGGTCAGTGCTGACAGTTGGTGCTGAGTCGTTCTCGTTACTTTCTTTATTGTGATGACAAATTCGCCTCTCGGCCTGTGGACGACACTCTGCTATGTTTCGTTGTGACTTACATATTGTCAATTCTTGGGTAGTAGGCAGACGTTGCAAACGATTTAAAGTAGGTTACACATTCCGTCTGTATTTTTCTCTGTCCTCCAGCACACCGTCTTTTGACACGCGACACGCACTCGTCGCGGTTCACCGTCCGTCACTCTGCTGCGGCTCGCTATCCGTTACAATTCTCACCACCTGTCGTTCTGTTGCAGCACGTCATGGGCGAACTGGAGCGCCGTGAGCGACAGTTCAACACAATCCAGGAGCAGGGCGGCTCGCTGGTCGCCCAGAACCACCCGGCCTCCAAGACGGTCGAGGCCTACCTGGCCGCCATGCAGACCCAGTGGTCGTGGTTACTGCAACTCACTCTCTGTCTGGAGACGCACCTCAAACACGCCCAGGTGGCGCACAAACTCTTCCAGAACGTCGACGAGATGACACACATCATCAAAGAGTGAGTTCTGGAATGAGAAGATTGATTTGGCATGTTGATGCGTCTGAAAACCTAAACTGCATTGGTAGCGGGCTTTTTCTCATTGCATGTGCCAGCATAGTTATAACTTGGTAACCTCACAACAATCGAGTCAGTTACTGCAAAATGCCACCCTCTTTCCCTTTATGCCAATTATCTACCAATTATCATCTATGCCATAAAACTTCTTATGCGTTGGAATCTCGACATTTTACCACATCTTTCTCTGGTGTCTGACCACATCTCACCCAGTCATCTGACCACACCTCTCCCTCGCCGCCGTCCACAGACAAGACGAGCGCCTGAACACGGAGTTCAGTCAGACCGACTTCACGCTGGACGAGGGGGAGCAACTCCTCCGTGACATGCAGCAGCTTCGTGACGTGATGGCCGGTCAGGCGGAGGTGATTCAGGAGCTCGAGGAGCGCGCCCACCAGGTGACGCCGCAGCGCCAGCGCAGGGAGCATCTGCCCGGACCGATGCCCGTCTCGGCCATCTGTAGCTACAAGAGCGCCAATGTGAGTCGTGCGCCGTTAGATAAGAATTAGTGGGCTTTCTTAGTTTGTGGTGGGTGCACCAGTTATTTTGTTTGCAGTTAACCACGATTTTTTCATGATTACGAAGCGAGCGAAGCGAGCTTTTAATAATAGTAATAGCGCTACTGACGCTCAGTTTTCTTAGGGTCCGGACTTTTTCCGACGGGTTTTATCATTATCAGTGAAGCTAGCTCTGCGTGTTAGCAGCGTTTTCTTTTCCATATGCCTACTGCGAAGCTGAAACGCAACACGTCGCTGGCATGCCCCTTGAAGCTGATAGGTCGTACTTTGGTCCGGGAGTTGACGTTTCATTTTGTCTTTATCCGCAGATTGTGATCCAGAAGCAGGACAAGTGCACACTGTTGGACAACTCGAACCGCACCAAGTGGCGGGTCCAGACGCCGAGCGGTCAACAGGGCTCCGTTCCCAGCGTCTGTTTCCTGCTGCCCCCTCCCGACCAGGAGGCCCTGGAGGCCATCGAGCGGCTGAAACGGCAGTACGAGATGTCGCTGATCCTGTGGCAGAGGAAGCAGTTGCGCATGAGGCAGAACATGATCCTGGCCACCATCAAGGTGGTGAAGAGCTGGGATCTGCAACAGGTGGGTTCGACTCTGGTGTCCGCCTGGATTAGCTGTTGACCGTCTGGCAGATTTAAGCAAGGCCATTGAAAGATTTAAGAGGATAATATTAGAGGATTTAAGCATGATGCCTGGTTTGCATCCCTTTGTCTGATTTAAGTCTGATGTTTATTTGCATAGTTAGATATTTTCCTACCTTACTATTTCCTTATTTCGTAGTGAAGACTCCTGGTCCCTGGACATTGCGAGTGTTACAAATGGTTGGTGTCTGTTCCCTCTCAGTTTATGGCGATGGGTAAGGACCAGCGGGACGCGATCCGTCGCGCGCTGAACGAAGACGCCGAGAAGCTGATTCAGGAGGGCGATCCGAACGACTCCCAGCTGAGGAGGCTGCGCCGGGAAATCGACGAGGTCAACCGGCTGTTCGACGAGTTCGAGAGACTCGCCGCCGAAGGTGAGAAAAAAGAGCAGTGGTTGGACTTTCAACATTCATCATAATGCATAACATACATACAACATACATTAATAGCATACATACATTATGCATTGATTCAACATCATTTAGTTCTTTTCGATTGTGTGTGTGATTTGGTGTGTTTATGCTTGCTTATTTATAACTTAGTTGTTAATGTTTATTCGCATGCCAAGCTTTTTCTGACTCGATTGGCCATGCAGTCCACGAAACGTACGACGTTTCGATACTAATTAAATCGTTTACCTTTTCATTATCTCCGAAGCCTAACGTTTTCTTTCGGCACTTCTTTTCCAGCGAACCCGACCAACCAGTTCAACACGAAGGTGGCAGCTCTGGAGACAGAGCTGACTCGCGTGGAGTCGGAGTTGGCGGAGAAGTGTGCCGCGCCCATTCCACGGGACGTGCGAGACGCCCAGCGGCTGGCCAACAAGCACAAGGACTGGGAGAACCGCGTCCAGGTGAGGAGAGGGCTCCAAGTGGTGCGATGTTTCTAGCCTGGTTGGTGGCTGACCTGTGACGAATGGCTCTGGTGGTTACCGTTAAAGTGCATGCGTTTTTTTGTGACTTGTAGATGGGATGATGTTTGGTGAGAATCAACAGATAGATAGGATTTCGCTAATGATTATTGATGTCGGCATGACTTCAAACTTCAATAGCAAACGGATTTTCAATTACTTTTTAATTACATCGAACTCTGAATCCGTTCGCAGCGTCACGAGCCCGCTCTGGATGAGGTCCGCAACATCTACAACTCGCTGAGCAAGAGGACACCGGCCATGCAGGACAGGCTCGAGAGGGTCAACACTCAGTGGGAGAGCATCTGGAAGACGTCCAACGCCTACATTGACCGGTGAGGAGACGCAACAGCGTACAACTTTGTTTGTTTGACCAAATTTGTATTCAAATATTCACTTATGGTCCATCAAAAGCCGATATTCGATTATTCTGGGCCATAAAGTGATACGTATATATTTCACCACATTCAGTCCATCTATGACACTACCTGATAGACGATTTCGATGGTAGCGCATGCAGTTGTTGTTCAAACTTTTTGTTTGGAAGTAAGGTGTAAAAACGTCCCGTCCTCTCGCCATTCCAGTCTGAAGTGTGTGGAGGTCACCGTTGACGGCCTGGAGGAGGCCACTAATGTGGTCAGCCACCTGGAGGCCAAGATTGCCGATTACCGCCAGCTTCCCGACGACCGGGATGGCCTCAAATCGGCCCACCTCGGCCTCGTCGACCTGCAGAACAGTCTCCAGAAGAAACAGGTGCGTCATGGAACACAGGACTGAGCCCAAGGCCTCTCAGAGTGTCCCGAACTCGATGTTTACCTGTTAGTGGCCAATAGTGCTATCGTAATGCCTGACGAAAGCTTCAGTGTCGTTGGAATAGAGCTCGTGCTGGCATCTCTCTTGCTCCTTCTGTTAACTCTGGTGTTTGGTATCATGGTGCTGGTAAAGAATGACGTTATTCATGAACTATTCTTATCACCTCTCTTACATTTCGGTACTTCTAAGTAAATACCGTACAACTATCTGTTGCTTTCCAGGGAATGATTGAGAAGCTCAACATTGACGTGGGTAAGACGCGTAAGACGACGGAGCGCACCCGGCCGCGCCAGAGAAACCACCCGGATGTGGAAGAGCTGGAGGATGACGTCACCAGGGTGACCAAACAGTGGACGAACTGTTGCGAGAGCGTCGTCGACAGGTCAGTCAATCAGAAGAGCTTCGGCAATTAATGACACACCAGCATGTAGGCCGCGATGCTGGAGCGGACCAATGTTATAAAGTTTTTGCAGATCCGATATTTGTTCGTTTTTGAAAAGCGTACAACAATACAGACCTATTCATATTATCATTTGGATGTAATGGTGTAATTTGTTAAACCTACCGGCTACCCATATCAACAATATTCATAGTTATTTATTATATTTCCTCAAGAGATGAGTCCTGGAGTTCGTGTCTCGCCGCCCACTGACATCCCGGTGATGCTCTGTCTGCAGACTGAAGGCGGTGGACCAGGCGGCCGACCTGCTGCGTCAGTACGAGCAGCAGGAGAAGATGGAGCGTCAGTGGGCCTCCCAGATGGAGGCCGAGGCGCGCCACAGACAGCAGGAGGAGGAGCGGCTCAGGGTCAGTGTTGGGGTTTGGTCGGGGCGATAGGCTCTAAGGAATACGTACGTGGTCCTTGTGACAGATTTACCTATAATACCAAGTGGAATGTTTTCAAGTTTCCTTGGACAGACCGATCAACAGCTGATTCACATTACACTGTAGCACATTAGAAACGGCTTTAAAGCCCCTCTCGTAGTGCGTATGTTCTGAATTTCCGCCTGGCCTTTTCCAGCAAGCGGTGATTGACAAGTTCCGCCAGTGTGACGAGTCGATCGCCGACTTCCTCGACTGGATGGCCAAGGTGGAGCGCAGGGTGGCCAACCAGGAGCAGGTTCAGGAGGACGTCCCCGCGCTCCGTAACCAGATCAACGTCGTCAAGGTAAGAACTCAACTTGAAGCCAAAACACTGCTCGTACCAAGTGCAAACTGAATTGTTAGAGATAGCAATTTATGAAGGTCATGTTCTTGAAGTTAGAATTAAAGTAACCAGGCATATATTTTCTTTTTGTCTTTGGTCGGAGATTTCACCCTTGGCTGACCACAGACTTTGTGTTTTACTAGTTCGCATTCACTATTTAGCCCTTCCAGGTTCCAAATCGCGTGTGATTTCCGATCAACTTTCGTTCATTGACTAATTCATGTCAATCTGCCGTTTAACTGTTGGGGTGTCGTGCTTGGCTAACGTCCTACCGTTTTGTCGCGACAGGCGATCAAGGACGAGCTGCAGCAGCAGCAGAGGCCGCTGTTCGCCTCGCTCGATCAGATCCAGGACGTGGCTGAGAGAGGTGGCGATATCCTCTCCAAGGACGAGCTCAGGCAGCTCAAGGACAACGGTCAGGAGCTAAAACACAGGTGAGCTATCACAGGATGCACTGACAGTACTGTGCACTATTCTGGTTAACGAGTTGATGTTTAAAATGGGCAATTTTTACCTTGCGTAGGCAAGCTGATTACTGTTGTATACCGTTAGATCATCATCTGAGATGACTTTTCATTTGTGAATGTTTTAGGAACTTGCTTGGTTATCGGGATAGAAGTTTGTCAAATGCACACGCTTGTGCCATGAATCGTCGTCTGTTGCTATAGCCACGCCTGCCTCAGGCTCCATAACTGACTGATTCCGACCACCGTTCCAGATACGACACTGTATCCGACCGGACGGATCAGCTGCACCGCCGGCTGAACGCCTGTCTGGACGAACTCACCAAGTTCCGTGGCGACAGCGACGCCTTCCAGGTACGAACGCTGTGCTGGGAAACGACTAACACTCTCACTATCGAGAGGGGTATGGCGTCCTAAATTCAGGCTACCTTTCAGATGCCCTTGCTTGCATTTCAATCTTGTCGTTCTATAAATTAGGTATGTTTAAGTACCAGGAGCAGGTTAACGACACCATGTCAAGCTGTCAGTTGTCGATCTGCAGCGCCTACAGTTTCGTTACCTAACCGAATTTCCTCCGTCCCCCAGAGTTGGCTGTCGCGCGCGCAGCGGCAGCTGGCCGACAAGGAGCGTCTCTCGGACCTCAGTCAGCTGAAGGCCAGTGAACAGGACTGCCGCGAGATGGTGCATGACGTGGTGGCCCACCAGGCCGACCTGCGCTTCCTCACCGTCGGAGCGCAGAAGTTCATCGACGAGAGCAAGGAGCACCTCAAGTCGCTGAACGACTTCCGCACAAACCTGCCCCAGAGGCTGGCACACATCGAGCCCAAAGACCACCAGGTCAAACACGAGGTCACCGAGCTCTCGCAGGTTAGTGACAATCACAATTTTATGGTCGTATAGCCTCTAAAGTCTTATCAGTTGTGGAAAAACGAAATTGACTGCTGTGCTTCTCGGAAAATAAAATAAAACGTCATCATGGCGAATAAATGAACACATTGTTTATAAACGACAATAGTTTGACTAACCTGTTGTTTCCTATTTCCCCACAGTCCTACCAAGACCTGCTGGGTCGCGCCAACAAGCTGTCCGACAAGCTCTCCGGCCTGGGCAACCGTCAGCGGGAGTACCAGGAGGCCCTGGAGCGTGCTGGCCGCTTCCTCCGCGAGGTCGAGCCGCAGGTGAAGCGCGTCGTCACCGAGCCAGTGGCGGCCGAGCCCCGAGCCGTCCAGAACCAGCTGGACAACGCCAAGAGCCTCAGTTCCAACATGCTATCGCAGGGCAAGCTGCTGGACAACGCGACGGGCACGGCCCAGCAGCTGGTGTCGGCACTGGAGGGGCAGATCTCCCCGCGACAGGCGGAGGCCATCACTCGGCCGCCGGAGGAGCTGACTGATCAGTACCGACGGCTGTCCGCCGCGCTGGTCGACCGGTGTCAGGAGCTGGACATGGCTCTGGTGCAGTCGCGCGGCGTCCAGGATGGCCTGGACTCGCTGATGGCGTGGCTCAGTCAGGCAGAGGCGCGCCTGCAGGCGCTTCAAAAACCAGCCAGTCTGGATCGTGACCGGCTGGCCGAACAGACTCGCGAACAGCGCGCGCTGCAGGCCGACATCGCTCAGCACCGACCGGGTGTGGATCAGATTCAGCGCTCGGCCCAGCAGTTGCTGCAGACGCCCTCCAACGCACGTATCGCTAAAAAGATCGAGGACAGTCTGCGGGACCTCACGGCCCGCTTCCAGAAGCTGGCAGACAAGTGTGACGAGCGTGGACGGCAGCTGGAAGACGTTGCCGCTCAGACAGAGAACTTCCGCAAGCGCGCCGACAAGTTTGATCGCTGGTTCGTTGAGGTGTTCGAACTGGTCGACGGTCAGGACGTGGGCAAATTGGGTGCCGACGCGTACACTGCCAAAATGGAGGAGTTGAGCCGGCGCCGGGACGCAGGGAAGCCGGACTATGACGCTACGGTGCGCTCTGGAACCGAGCTGGTGTCGCGGAGGGATGTCACCGACACCAAACCCACCAAGGATAAGGTCGAGGTCAGTGTCGCAGAATATTTGCCGCCCAGGCTAGCCTGGCTCTATCGATTTCGATGGTTTCTATTAAATACTTTTCAATGCCAAAACGTATTATATGTGAATGATCCATCTTCATTGTATCTAAGACAATTAAGTTTATATACGTTTATACAGTTTAGGAGTACCTAGCGAAATTATTTCAATAAGATTTAGTGTGACTATCGATAGCGGCATCAACGTTTGGTATATGTCATCCCGGTATGAGCATGCTACCTAACCATTCGCTATTTATTTGAGCAAGCCTAACTGCAAGTCGATTTCCGACCACACAGGAGATCAAGGCTCAGTGGCAGGAGCTGCAGGGCGTCATGGAGGCGCGTCTCAAGGAGGGTCAGACCCGCTCTGAGTCGATGAACGCCTTCGAGAAGCTCAAGGACGAGGTTCAGCAGTGGCTGAAGCGGATGGAGGGCAGGATTGAGGCCCTCCAGCCGGTAGCCGTCGATCAGAAACTGCTGAAGGACCAGAGCGATGAACTGAAGGTGAGAAAAATGGTACAACGATGTGACATGGTGCGATGATGCAATGTAGTAAAATATATTTTAGGATCTGATAAAAGAGGTTTCTTATCTCAAGCCACTTGAGCATTCTCCCTATGTAATTCATGATGTCAATAACCCCTAACGCTGTCCCCTCGTGCCATTCCATCAGCCGCTGGTCCGCGAGCACACCCAATACGCCGCCACCATCGACAAGGTCAACGACCTGGGTAACCAGTACGACCAGCTGGTGCGTGGGGACCGGGCCGAGACACCCTCGCGTCGCCGCTCCTCCGTCACACCGCTGAAGAAGGCCTCGGTGACGTCGCACGGCCGGCGGTCGGTCACACCACTCTCTTCAGGTGGGTGGATCGCGGCTGTGGTTGGTTTAACGTGGAGATAGGACGCTACTGGAGATCTACAATAGGGATTTGTATGTTTTACATTGTTTGTGGTGTGTTTTAAGTGTGCTTGGTTGCGTCTTACCAAAGAGAAGTCGTTGAAATCGCAATCTGTTTCTCTTGATCTAATCCACTCCCATTTGCGAATCTTGTTTTCACTCAGCTGTGTGATGTGCCGTATAGACATCGGTATATCCATACGGCTGGCTGTGCCATAACTGATAGTTCTTATCTGTTTGTATGTATATCTTTCCGCGTGTCTGTCGGTCACCAAATCTGACTGTACCGCCTCTGCCCACTTTCTCCGCCTGTCTATTTGTTCATGGACTTGGATGTTCCGCCGTTCTTGTCCATACGTCATTATATTCTATGCAAGTCAATTTTGTCCGTCAATCTGTTTGTCCATCCGTCTCTCTGTTCTATCACTGACCGTCCCTATATGTGTACCCACGGGCACATCTGCAGTGCGTCGCCCCTCGTACGATAGGAGTTCCCCAGCGCCCAGCCGCCTGGGTCGCAAAGAGTCGCTCAATGATGGGTATCTCGGGCTGGACGGTAAGACCCGTATCCGATAGGCACGTCCCTAACCGATCTAGTGACTAATTCCTAATGATACTGACAGTTCGGTAGTAGATGCACTGAGCTCGCATCTCGACATTTCGCATATCGCAGCACTGCGAAGTGTCGAAATGCGTGAGTATGTAGTGAATAACCAATAATATTGGTATGAGTAGCAATGCATACATAAACCATGCTAACAACTTCTATGTTTTCGTCAAAATCATAGCTTATTTGTATTGTGCATATGTTCTTATGCTGAATGTTAAGGTAGTTATCTTGTTAAGAGATATGGTAGTCTTATTTTCCGCTTCCCCTTCGAGCTGCCAGCAAACATAGAGACAATTAGCTATGCTATGCGTAACCAATCTCAGCGCAAACCTCACAACCAAGCCCCTCCAGGAAAACACTGTAGCTGTACAAAAAGGGGCTATTGGTATATTCAGCCCAAATGAACACGACACAAACATACTAGCAAGTATACAAGTCTCAACCGAGACTGCCCTGCCAACGGGCCGCCACCCCTCCCCCCGCGCGGCGCAATGGTGTCCCCACCCAAACTAGAAACCCTGTCGTGTGTGTCCTCCCCCGGAAAAAGTCCTAACTAGAAAAAAACCGGGGGACCTAGCTGGGGAAAAACCACATTTTGTGGAAAAAACCCATCTTTATTTAAGAGTGTGGTGCGTGTAAAAAAAAAGTCCCAAAAATGGTGGTGGGTGGGTGGGAAACGCCAAAACATTTCAGAGCGAGAACACTGCTGACTTGCGTCAGACCGGACGGCTTAGAACAGAGTGACCGCGCAAATGCACTCAAACCCCGCGCCGTCACCGTCACGTGACACAAGTCGCTCCACCAATCAGAGGAGGCCGCCGCCTTAGCGGCCTTGCCGCCCGGGGGCGCAGGCGGCCGCTCGCCTGCCGCCGAACGCTGCTCGCCGAGGCCGGCCCGGCTCCGGGGCCGCCCCAGAGAAGACGCTCGTAGTATCGCGGAAAAACCGGTTATATCTTGTCATATATAACCGGGCGTATTTTCCGCTTCCCCTTCGAGCTGCCAGCAAACATAGAGACAATTAGCTATGCTATGCGTAACCAATCTCAGCGCAAACCTCACAACCAAGCCCCTCCAGGAAAACACTGTAGCTGTACAAAAAGGGGCTATTGGTATATTCAGCCCAAATGAACACGACACAAACATACTAGCAAGTATACAAGTCTCAACCGAGACTGCCCTGCCAACGGGCCGCCACCCCTCCCCCCGCGCGGCGCAATGGTGTCCCCACCCATTCAATACATCCACCCAGACACCAATGCGCCATAAGAAAACACCCCCTTCCCGAGACCAGCAGACCGAGTGGGGGATACAAATTAACACAAAAGACCTACAGTCGCCGCCAGGGTCGAGACCAGTGGCGGAACCCACCCAAATACGTGCTTGGTTGAAGGTAGGTAATTATTTCCTCAACCTGGCCCGAAGCTTACCAGAAACGCCACGATTCCTTAAACCTGTCAACATGAATGTGAGCGATACAGCGGTCACCAATGAAGAACAATATTACGGTATTTATACCGAAGCCCTCACATGACTAACAACCAGAAGATTAGCCACTACTGCGATGATAGCCTCCACCAAGTAAAGGCCCTCGATATACCCGCCGAAAAAAACAACCATCCATGAGTTCTGAGGCATCTGCCAACGGAAGCTGTATTTTCCTTTACCTTGAACCCTATGCACATGCTTATCAGCGCGACCATTAATTTTCCCAGAACTTTGGAAGGGGTTAGAACAGTATCAACGAAGGTCGTTGACAGCCGCCCAGCAAAAAAGGAGAGGGCTCTCAGCCCGCTCCAGGAATCAGGCTGTTGTAGGAGGGGACGCCTGCGGGCAGACTAGCGAGCTGCCCAGAGGCCGTGTAGAAGGGACACCCCCGGGCAGACTAGCGGGCTGCCCTGAGGCCGTTGTAGAAGGGGACACCCCTGGGCAGACTAGCGAGCTGCCCCGGGGTCGTAGAAGGGGACCCCCCCGGGCAGACTAGCGAGCTGCTCCGGGGTCGTTGTAGAAGGGGACACCCTGGGGCAGACTAGCGAGCTGCCCCGAGGCCGTTGTAGAAGGGGGCACCCCGGGCAGACTAGCGAGCTGCCCCGGGGTCGTTGTAGAAGGGGACATCCTCCCCCCGGGCAGACTAGCGAGCTGCCCCGGGGTCGTTGTAGAAGGGGACACCCTGGGGCAGACTAGCGAGCTGCCCCGAGGCCGTTGTAGAAGGGGGCACCCCGGGCAGACTAGCGAGCTGGCCCGAGGCCGTTGTAGAAGGGGGCACCCCGGGCAGACTAGCGAGCTGGCCCGAGGCCGTTGTAGAAGGGGGCACCCCCGGGCAGACTAGCGAGCTGCCCCGGGGTCGTTGTAGAAGGGGACCCCCCCGTGCAGACTAGCGAGCTGCCCCGGGGTCGTTGTAGAAGGGGACCCCCCCCCCGGGCAGACTAGCGAGCTGCCCCGGGGTCGTTGTAGAAGGGGACACCCCCGGGCAGACTAGTGAGCTGCCCAGGGGTCGTTGTAGAAGGGGACACCCCCGGGCAGACTAGCTAGCTGCCACGGGGTCGTTGTAGAAGGGGACACCCCCGGGCAGACTAGCGAGCTTCACCCAGGACTTGCAGAATTGGGCATCCCAAGATTCTCCGAATGTCTAGGGCAATTACCCGACCTGAATACCAAAAATGCCCGCTTTTGAAATCTGATAGTATCCGCATCACCCGCCACGGGCAACAAGCTTGCCTTTCCGCGAAGCTCCGGATTGATCAGGGACCAAATGACCGGCATACAGACAGCCCCTACGCTGTAAACAGGCCAATATGGGTATAAAGGTTGCCGTTGCTTCCTAGCTCGACACGTTTAGGAGGAGCTTACTGCCTCCAAACGCCGAGCTGGCTCAATGTCACCCATAGAAGGTACAGTAACTCACCCACCAACCAACCATAGGCAGGTCCTGAGTGACGTCAACACTGATGCTGGCGAGGGGTACCAGTGCCCCCAAACTTTGCTGATTTAGGTGGGAAACGACATCCAAATGAAAATCATTTTCACTCGCCTCCATTTTTTAATAGCCCATTTTCCACTCCCAATTTTACCAAGAAAAAGCATTTGCATGGATCGATAGCCATTTTACTTCCCATATACCAGCCTTGTATTAAATTTTGCTGTACATTCTTTTTCCACTCTTTTTGGGCCTTATCTGACCATCAATTTTGCACCCTTATCCCTTATTTGGTGAATAATTTTCATAGACCCGGGAAACAGGTGGGCAGCGGGGGCGCTTGCCCCCCCCCCCACCTGAGAGCCGAGGGGACGGCGCCCCCTCAACATTGAGGCAGCGAGAAAGGATCTTTCCTCCCTTTTCCGGACTTCCTTTTGTTTCCTTTATACATCTAAACATCAACACACGGCATTTTCCTTGCCATCTGAATGGTTTCTGCTGTTACAGTATCGATTTGACATCTGCCGTTGCCATCCCGCTTTTGTTTGGGCCTGGCCTTGGCCATAAGTTTGGCAGGCCAGCTTTTATACTGGACCATTGTGAGTCAACCTTGAGAAATACCCAACGTACAACGGTGGTAAAATCGTTGCTACAGGTATAACACAGGTTACCCGCTCCGGGTGTAAGGGAGGGGTGTGGGGCAATGAGTGCACTTACGTGGCGTCCTTGGAAGGCCGGTATGGGATTAAAAGCTCAGCGACACTAAGGGCTTGTATGGTGTCTTCGGTTATCGTTAGCATTCTCAGAATCACCGGCGTAGGGCCCTCAGAGCCGCCGGTAAGGGGCCTTTAACCCGGCAGTTGCTGGGGTATTTCGCCACCCACCGTTTGCTGGGGGGGGGGGGCGTTAAACGCCCCCAGCCGATAACTCGAGAACCAATAGGCGCAGCGAAACGCACGAGGCGGCAAACGAAAGAGCGCGACGAGACGCTTCAGATGAGTACTTTAAAGTTGAATTTTGAGGTCACAGGTCGGGTCAAGGTTAGGTCAAACACCTGAAATCGGGCTTTCAGTAGCATGGACTTCAGGGCTTCGCAATGGGCGCCTCTCGTCATAAACGTTGTCAAAACGGTGCACAATCCATCATATAAGGCCTACAAGAGTGTCAGCTCAATGTAGGGGTCAGTCAAGCATAGGTCAGGGTCAAGGTCAGGTCAACCGGGTAGGCACATATCCCCGAAAATCAAAACTGATATTCGCAGCCTGCGACACATGTTTTATGGGTAATTTGGGGCGTAGAACCCGATGGTGACATTCATTTTATCGTATGTGTACGTGTTTGGCCCAAAAAGTTCAATTTAAGAAATGTATGTATCATGGTCGTGAAGTAGTCGCGAGAAATTGCCAAGATTCAGTTCAAGATTTTGGAAAATGCAGAATGATAATCAATAATCGAAGATAGCCATTTGATTTTCCATGGTATTGGCAGTCTAATGGCGTTTACGGCATGTCTGTATGTCTATTCTGTGATTTTATATGATTTTTTGAACATATGCCGTTTTTGGTCGAAAACTCAGAAATCATGACGTCACTAAAACCTCGATATCTCAAAAATTTTCCGACCGATTTTTTTGAAACTTTGTCACAATAAACTTCAATCAATTCCCTACAGGTGCCCAAATTTTGGCGCGCCTGCGGCGCGCCGTTTTTATGCTACGGCCCGGCGAAAAAAGTGGGGGCGTTTAACGCCCCCCCCCCAGCAACTCGCGGGTTAAAGGCACTGGTGTGGGAATGTCATGCCGGTGCCGGTGTGGGCGCTCAGAGGTGCCAGTATGATTCTCTCAGAGGCGCCGGTGAGGGTCCTTACAGGCGTTGCTGTGGGCCCTCATAGACGCTGGTGTGGAGCCGTTACAGACGGGTGTGGGGCCTGAGCTGGTGACGCGAACCCTCTACAAGCCGGCAGGGGGTCTCAGTGACCGGCAAGAGGCCCTTAGGCCAGCAGAAGAAGTTCTGTGGGGTCCTTAGAGACCGGC